ACTTGGTATTCCTTCCTTGCCTCTAGCTCGATAGTGCTACTATAAACAGATGCCTCCCACCTCACCGCCACACAACGCTGCTTATATTTTTCAGATATGTATTCCAAAATTAACATAAATTCTTTGCTCTTACATCACTACTTAACCTCAGTGGCCTTTATTGCTTTTTCCCCATTGGGACCCAACAGAGCTGAATTCCTGTTGCATCCTCTCCCTCCAGCACTTCTTTATCCTTTGCTTTTCTGAAGCCTATTTCCCAACGCACGGTCTGACTCCTAAGCAGACGTCCTCGGGGCGCTTACTCCTCCCCAGCCAGCAAGCTGGGCTGTTTCCCTGCGCGTGTTTTCCTCCTAAGGGTTCCAAAGCCAATAGCTCTGGATAGAGATTAAATGACATATTAATTCCTATTAAAAGAAAGTTATATTTAATTAATTTCCCAAATTTCCACCCAAAATCACCTCTGACTCTGTCAAACTCCATAAAGATCAATAACTTCAGGCAGATAAAAAACAGCCTATTGCCCCCATTCCTTGATGGTTTGGATATCACACAGCACAAGATTAAGCTAAATGGGCAAGGAAATAGTGGTAATGGAGCAATGTGAGGATGGAGCTACACCTTTGGCAAGATGTCAAAATTTGTCCTCTTAACTATGTGTGAGTGGCAAAAAGTCTAAAACCTTCTGTAAACAGAATGAATCTCAAACAGTCACTTGTTCCTTCTTTCTCTTGCCCTGGTCAGCCTCAGCTATGAGCATCTTGTGAGAAACACAACAAAACTACATGAAAGCATGAGTAAGGATAAGGACATAATCAGATCAAAATGCTGCACTTCCCTGCTCTTTCAGCCTCACTGGTCTCCTGTTTTCTTTCTGAGGAAATACAAGGGCACAGGTTCAATCTAAAAAGCCCCAGCTAGTCTGTGATCAAGCTGCCTTCTCCATCTACTAAAACAGAGGTAGCAATTAAGTACTTCGGGAGTAACTCTCTGACACACATTCTCAGATCCTCACACAGTAGTTTCAGATAGGATGCTATAGCATGGGAACCTGTTGTCTTGAGAAATGCAGTTTTGAGATCACAACAAATGCGTTTCCTTATGAAAATGCAGAGAAGTGAGTTACAAAGACTTACTTGAACAATTAATAATTTCAGG